ATTACATTTGTTTTTTTTTTTGCTTGCTTTTCTGTTTTTTTTTTTAAGCTGGTTGTTTTTTCCTCTTTCTTCTGTGTTTATGCATGAGTTTTACAAAAACGTATTATTTTTCTATTTTATATGCATTTTCCTTTTGTTTTTTTTTTTTATTTTTTTTTAATGATCTTTTTGCAAATTGCTTTTAATTAATTATGTAATTAATTTTATAGTGTATATATCAATGCATTTAATTATGTTTAATTTTGCCGGTTGTGTTTGATTTATGTGTTATGTTGTTGGTTTTTCTTTTATTTTCTTTTGCATTTCCCATTCTTTATCTGTTTATAGTATACGCGTCTCTCTGTGTGTGTGTGTACTTGTTTTATAATATGTATATAGATATATTTATGATATATATATATATATATATATATATATATATAGATATATTTAAATATATATATTTTGATATAGACACATATATATACATATATATATATATATATCTATATATATATATATATTCGTATGCTGCTATTGCCCCTATGAATCTGTAAATAAACGAAAAAGAAACAAAAGAGAAAACGAAAAATAAAGTAATTTAATTCAATAGAAAAACAAAATAAAAAGTTTTAAACCAAATAAATATAGTATATTTATACCCAAAAAAAGCTGGCAACTTATAATTACAGTAGGTTTTTATTAATTGCTAGCACAGGACTTATCAGGATCAGGGGGGGGGGGGGGGGTCAAGGACATCCACCACATTCGTTTACTTTGTAATAGTGTGTGTGTATTTACACATAATTAGCATTCAAAATGTATGATAAAAAAAAAATAAAATAAAAAAGGCCTCAATCGGCTAGCCGAAGATTGAATACACTTGCAGACATTTCAAACCAATTTTTTTAATATGATATAGGTGTAATATCAAGTCGGACTTTCTTTTATTACTATGCATAGGTTAAAGATAAATCACTTTTCAAGTAGCTCTAGCTTTTCAGCCCCTGGACTCTATAGCCTACAACATATATGGCCCAGGCCTTAATATATGTGTAACTAGTTCCTGTTCTTAGCGTTCTAATTAATTTATTAAGCTATCGCTTCCATTTCCAAACTATTGCTTTCATAGCATCTGCGATATCAAAAAAACGAAACGAGTAGATTTAACCCATTTAATAAACAAAGTGCTCATAAGCTTTATTTACTTTATATTTTCTAATAAATGCCTCTCGTGTACTTCGACATATTGTGATCAGACAAACTAGATGGGCTCTTAAGTAAGTCGGGTTATATGGATTGAAATAAATGCTCCTCCACCCGCAATTCATCCACACATTTATAATAACCTGCAAGGGTATTTAAGAAGAGAACACATAACAGAAAGAAAAGAAAAAACAAAAAATATTTGTTAACAGCGAAAAATTGGGAAAAGCAAAGCACGGATGGCACTCGCCCGAGGCAACCCAACGCGAGAGACTCCGCTCAGCTTAGGAAAGTATTCTCCAAAAGGGGTTAGAGAGTGAGTAAGAAGAAAAGTAGTGAAAATTGTGAAACTTTATTTGAGAACGAAAATATGACAGGTTGTTATTGCATATGGATTGACAGCTCTTTGTTCGCCTGAATTGAACTGAACCAGTAAAGGGGGATCGAACGAGTAAAGGGTTGCACTGCTAGGTTTATTAGTTTTGCGTTGCAACTTGGCCCCGCAACGAATCGAGGTTCTGTTTCGGGCGGGATCTATAGATGGTTGGGATTGGGGTTTTTATTTGATCTTGCTGGGCTTGAATTTCATAATGTTTTTGATTTTGGTCTTGATAGGCTTGAGCTGACTGTGAACGGATTTTGCGCTGGGTCTTCGTCAAACTTGATGGGATATGCGAGTTAGGCAAGTGGGACTCAACTAAAAGCAAGCAACCGAGAGAGAGAGAGAGAAAGTGATATAGAGAGATAGAGTGAGAGAGACAGACAGAGAGAGAGGCTGATCTGTTACGACTGGCGGCTCAGATGCGAACTGGGCACACGCTTACTCACCTGTTATGTTGGCGCCACCAGCATTGCTTGTGGTATTTGCGCCGGCTGCTGTGGCAGCTGCCGCAACGCCACCACCGCCACCACCGCCGATGACAGTTGCTGGCGCATTTGATTGCTGCGCATTTGGAGCCGATGCAACAGCAGATGCGACGGCAGTTGCATTACCACTGTTGCTGCTGCTGTTGTTACCCTGAACGCCAACGTTTGCGGCGCCACCGGCAACTGTGGCAGCTCCTGCTGCTGCTGATGTGGGCGCCTGTTGCTGCTGCTGTGGCTGAGCGGCACCATCAGCGGACGCACCGCTGCCCGTTGAGGAGACGCTGGTTGAGCCACTGGCCGCGGCGGGTGCTGCACCGCCGGCCGAGGCGCGATTAGCACCGGCTGTGTGGGCTGCATTCTGCAGATGCTTTGGCAACAACTGTGGCACTAAGCTAGGCTGTATCGAGAGTTCTGCAATGCAATGCGTGTTAATAGATCAATGCGGATCAAGCATATCCGAATGCGAACTCACCATGCTCTGTAAAGTTAAATAGTGGCGGCATGTCGCGGCCATTGGGCAAGGTGTGATTGCCCTCCATGCGCAGCTCATCGAAGAACGGATGTGCACAGGCCTTGAGCGGCGTGATGCGGGCGCTTGGCGTGTACTCGAGCAGCTGCGACACCAAGTTGATAGCTTCTGTCGGAGTGCGTATACGGAAAACCTATGTGATAACAATATCCAATTAGTTCACAATAATTATCGATGCGATACAGTTGCAGCTGTCTTTTCTTAGGCAATCCTCATAGCGCAGGGGCTGGACTGAGCAGGGCAGGGTCAGACGGTGGGCTTGAGGTGAAGTGGAGGGTGTGGACTGGGACTATCACAATATTAATCACATATATAACATGGATGAATGCATTATATAGTACATATTGCTGTGACGCCCCTGGGATTAAAATGCAGCGGCAACATGGACACAAGGCGGGGCGCAATAAAGAGGCAAAGCAACAATCAAGTCAAATCAAATCAAATCAATTTAAATTCAATCAATAAATATCGACCAACACATGTAAACAATGTATAAACATTTTTATAAAAGGGAGTGCCACTTATAAATTGAAGCTAAAGTTTTCTATATACAGATGTGTATATCCATGATTTATGAAATTTTCGTATGCTTCTTTATCTGAAGATTCTCGCTTTAAATCGGATTGGCTAAAGTGCATTTTAAACTGTTATATGAATAATGATCTGGACTAGAATTGTTTTACCTTCTGAACATCTGCTTTGCAGCTATTTGTTACTGTTGCAAAACTCAAATACCAATACGACTTTCAATGCTCTGCAAGCTAACAACTGCTATACCCTCTTTAAAGAACGGTATATGTGACTTGATGCAAACAAAGTCCTTTGATCAGTGTTGCCAACTACCTACAACAAAAATAGAACAGATCGAACTGAAAACAAATGAAGCTGCACACACGTACAAGCACGCACGTACTTCTTTGCTCTCCTCCACACTGTGGTAAATGTACTCATGAACAGCTTCGGGGTATATAGTCATATAGTCCAATAATTACGAAAAACTCGGGGCCCCAATATGACAAAGCAAAAGTGTGTTAATACGAAAAATGATTTTTGGCCAATTTTGGCATAATGAAGGAAGGTATCCTAAAAGTGAAAGATCATCCATTGACATTTGGCGCCTATGTACTATCTTTTAAACCTTGTTTATGTTTTATGGCTGCTTTAATAACCTCATTTATTTGGGTATATGTATGCCGATTAAGTACCAATCATATTAAGTTCATTTGAAACCAAATCCCTGAATCAAGATTTAAGATGCGATTAGCCCCTGTGTTTGTGGATAATTTCGCAATTATTTTTTTACCAAAGTATGAGCGATGCCGATCACGATCGAACAAGGGAAATTAAGCAGAAAGCTGCAGTAGGCTTTCTTTTGATCATTCGGATCACGGCCCCTCCCGCTCTTAAAATCTTGCTACGGATCTCGAAATTTTCCATAATCACGCACTTTTGGAATTATTTGTCAGGGAATACCCATAAGTTAGTAACTCGCTATATAAGCAGTAGGAAAAAGGAAAACAATTAAATGAATGCTACGAAAAGGGTAGATTTTCGTATAGCGGATTGTTTATATCGGCTGTCGGTTTGAAAGATCTGTCGGGAAAAAGGCTCAATTGGCAACATTGACTGTGACACGCAAGTGTATAGCTTATATGCAGCTGCTTGCAATGATAAACATGTTTTCGAACTGTTATACATTATGAATGTATGCTTAAGAGCTATTTTGGTGTATTTGTAAGCCAAAACTGTCATTAAAGTCAACAGTTGTGCAACGGTTGCGCCAGCAGTCATCAGTTTATTTAGCCAACGGCGGGTGCTTCAAATATAGTCACATGTGCGTGCGTATGTACATATGTTTGGCGTTTCTGCAGACATCGGTTCGTAATTGTAAGGCAAGTTTTACAGTGATTTTGTTTAAATCTTTATCTTTGTTCGCGGCTTACTCTCAATTGCTGTTTCTGGCTTAGGGCGTTTGGAAATTGGGAGCGTTCGAGTAGTGACTGCAACGAATTGTTATTTACACTTCAATCACGACTTGAACAACACACATGAAAAAGAGAGAGACAGAGAGAGAGAGAGAGAGAGAGAGAGAGATTGGGGATATGTGCGTGAGAGAGTGAGGGATTAAAATCATTGATATATTCATTTTAATAAATGATATGCGTTGGATTAGTGTTAAAGAAGAGCTCACAAATATTAGCGACATGGTCTTAGATTTATGAACCTCTATGATATTACACTCATACACATACGAAAGGGACTGCCTGAAGGGATATTTGATCGATTGGTTGCTTCGCGTGGACTGAGGTGGAGGATGCACTACGATACCTTGGACAAAAAGACTCTAAATGAAACTTACTTTCTGCCATGGATGACTTTTAATCTGCGGAAACTTGAATTCCGTATAGTTTGGATTCATTTCGCGTATTTGTTCTCTTGTCGGTGTGCCCAAAACTTTGATCACCTCGACCAGTTGATCGACACCAGAATCGCCGGGGAATATGGGCTGTCCCAAAAGCAGTTCGGCCAACACGCAACCGGCACTCCAAACGTCTATTTAGAATTAGAATTAGAAATTGTTTTAGAAGAAACCTGATTACGATACACAGTTTGCCCGCTTACCGATCTTAGTTGTATAGTTGATGGCGCCAAATATGAGCTCAGGGGCCCGATAATACCGGGAGCAGATATACGACACATTCGGCTCACCGTGCAGCAGCTGCTTGGCGCTGCCAAAGTCGCACAACTTGAGTACGGCCGTTTCCGGGTCGAGCAGCAGGTTCTGCGGCTTGATATCACGATGGCAAATGCCCAGCGAATGAATGTATGCCAAGCTTCTGAACAATTGATACATATAGAGCTGTAGACCAAAAGTTTGTCATTCAGATAGTCTGTTCATTTATACATATATATATATATATTCGTATAAAACTTACCCGTATAAAGTTGATTGGTATCGTCTGCTTGGTTTTGGCATATTGACGTGCCACTTTGTATACAGTTTCTGGTATATATTCGAGGACTAAATTCAAAAATACTTCATCTCGCTGCAATTGAAGGTAATTAAATGGTATTAGAATTAACTATAACTTGCTGTTAATGTTGTTTGTTGTAATGATCAGGCGAGCTCCAAACTGCAAGGCGGGTAGTTTGTTGAAGTTGCAAGTTGACTTCAGCATGCGAAATGTGACGTTCAAGGATCAACGTTCAACGATGGCGATAACGATAACGATAACGATTGTTACGATCGAGTACTTGCGTTGAGCAGGACTACGGATATATACATATCTAGCAGCTAGCCGAAGGAATGCTGAGGGTTTATTTAGTGGCGATAGTTTTGGGGACTGGTTGAATGTGATTGTGGGTTTTAGGTGGAGGGCGAGGCGGGGCGTCAAAGCGCCAAAAAAAAAAGCATGCACACATCTCTCAAGCTTCTTCTAGCATGCGGACTTCATCTGTTTCTGCTTATATTCGTAGACAGAGAGAGAGAGAGAGAGAGTGAAATATATAAGAACGGAAAAACAAATAGAAAATGGGAAAGAAAGACAGAGAGCGATAAACGCATAAGAGAGTGAGCATAATGTGCGAATCTTTCGAAGAGTAGTCCCCTCTTCTTGTTGTAGTATTACGTAATATACCTGAGGCTTGAGCACAGCGGCTAAAATGCCCAAATCGATGGGAAATTCGGCCAACTAATTTTATCGCCATGATTCGTTCATATTGATATGTAATATAATAGAAAGAAAATCAGTTGAAATATATATACATATTCAAAATTGAAATTGAAAGCATTTTCGTGTTGCTGTGACAACTCTAGCGCAAATCAGCTGGGAACCCTCAACACTGATCGTATTATATTAATTAATGTGTCTCATTCTTACCTTTTCACCGCTCGAATAGAAAAAGTATAAAAGTTTTACAATGTTACAATGCTCCAATCTGCGCATTATTTGCAATTCACGGTTCTGCAAGCGAGAGAAACAGAGGGTTATTCGTGGAGGAAGGATATTCTTTACAGAGCCGAGAACTTACCTTAAATCGTCTGTCTTGTAAAACTTTTTTGATTGCAACCAATTCGCCGGTGTCACAGAGTTTCGCCTGAAATACGACCCCAAAGCTGCCATTGCCGATAACTTTTGTATCTGTATAGGAAACTTCTTGAACCCGATCGGTGCCTTGGCCAGGCGTTGCAACGACTGTTGTAATTTTGGAACCATCACGACCTGGGAGAAAGAATCAAATGCAAATGATATTATTAAATAGAGTAAAGCAATACATTTTATAACACTGGCTTTGCCCGAGCTACACTTTATTCTTTAAATTTTAGGATCGAGCAAATTCAAATTTACCCTTACCACCTTTAACTAATAGTTCAACCCAGTTAAGTGGATGATCGTAACTGAAAATGAGTTTTAGTTCGATCAGATGAAAAAGAAAAGTTGCAATATATAGTTTCCACTCATTTTTCGGTGAACTTTCCACAATCGGTGAAACACATATTCACACAGTTTTAATGTTAAGTTTTGAAAATGAATTTGAAGGCGGTCTTTGTGTAAAAATTGAAACACGTGCCAAAACTTTTTCACAGAAGCAGCCTTAAGAAACACCAGCCTTTTCAGCAATTTGCACAGTTACGGGTAAAAATATAGCTTCCACTTTGTTACGCTTTGTGCTGTACATTAATAAAGAAGCAGCCAGTCAATCCGGGCAAACAGCTCTTTTATATTTAGATTATATAGTGAATAAAGCTTTTAGCACACACAACACGACGATATTTTTGGAGCCAATCTCGGCAGTACCTGTTGTCTCCCAGGCGCCCTCAAGTTTCTCCTTGCTCCTATCGACCTCCTTTGGAATGGATAATGCGACGCTGTGTTCGGGCCACAAATCATTCAATTTTCCGATCAACTGTTTCATGCCTGTGGCAGGATCAGATCGAATCGCATCAGTGAGAGATCGGAGAGATACAGAGAAAGAGAGATATAGATAGAGAGGGAGAGGGAGAGCTCAACAATGAGACAGCCACCGTGAGAGCGAGCGAGACAGATTGATGACAGGAGCGAGACAGAGTGTTCGGTTCGGGTTCAATCATGGAAATAACATGCAAAACATAACCACAATATATGTATATGTATATGGGCTCGTCTTTTTCTTCATCTTTATCTGCTTCTTCGTCTTGTTATTTATCATCTTAACCACGTTCGTAGGTATATATAGGTATACGAAGCGCTTCGTCTCAGCTGCTAAACGTTTTACGTGATCGCGCAAATGGCGATCGCTTCACCTATATTATCTATTCGTTTGAGTTTATTTAATTTATAATTAATTTTGGCATTAGCGCAACTTTCGACGGGTGGCAGCTGCTGTGCCGCATTTGCAGTTCGAGGCGAGGCGAGGCGGAGCGAGATGGGGGCGAGATGAGATGAGACGAGGCGTCGGCAAGATGAGAGTGAGGCATCACTAAAGGTCAACGTTACCAGAGACGGGGGGGACGGGGGGGGCTGGGCTAGAGAGGAATGGTTTGTAAACGAAGGGATTTGGGTTGAGGGTAGCGAGTTAGGGGTAAGGACAGGAATAGGGAAAAACTAAGCGCTTGTACTTGGATCCTTGTACTGCTTGCCGGCCGAGCCAGAGCTGCGCAGCTTGGGCTTCTTGAGTGCGGCCAGCAGCGAAGCGGACGAGGAGGAGGCAGCCCCAGCAGCAGGAATCGTTGATGGCAACGTTGCTCTGCCATTGGCTGGACGGCCCTTACGGCCAGTTGCAGAAGACGAGGATGAAGACGACGACGAGGAGCTGGCCGAGGATGAAGTATCCGATGATGATGAACTGCTGCCATCGCTGCTATCGCTGTTGTCGCTGGACTTGGATTTTGTATCGGAATCACTGGAGTTGCTCGACGAGTCTCGCTTCTTATGCGTCGCTTCCACCTTCGCCATGGACGCTGTCGTTCTCATCATCAGGCCCGATGACACCGAGCTGCTGCCAGTTGCATTGGGCAACGAATGGCGCTTGGTCTTCGATTTCGACTTGGTCTTGCACTGTGGCTTGCGTGGCGGCATTGGCGTCCAAGGCCGACTAGTGCTGGCGGCTACAACGGCAGCGGCCTCATGTGCTGCACGCACAGCCTCAATCTCCGAGAGTGGCGCATTGTAATAGTGGCGCGACGACGCCGAGCTCGAATTGTTCGAGTGCAAGCTCCTCGTTTCGCTGGCACTGGTTATGGCTGGAGCGCTTCCAGGGGCTGTTTCCCCAGCTCCATCCGATTCGCTGGCATCGTTGATGGCGCGCTTCTTGCGACGCACCACACGCACCACCTTGCGGAGGCGATTGGACGCCTGTGTCTTATCCACTTTGCTGTCAACGGGTAACACAACCGTTAGAGCGTCTATATAATTCGGCTAGGCTAATATCAGTCGGCCAACGGCCACACACGATCAGCGGGGTCTCTAGGTCTTTGGGCCACTTGTTGGTGGTTTTGATTTTTTTCCTTGCGATTTTTGGTGGTTTCGGTCAGGCTTTGGCCTAGTTGTGTTAACAGTGCGCGCGTGTTTTATTTCTGCCCACTTGACCAACTTTTCTCGCGGACGTCTTGCTTGACGTTTAACGCAGACAATTAATCGATCGATTCGCCCGTTCGATCGATCTTCAAATAGAAATGCTCAGCACAAAAACAAAGTATAAAAAAAGAAAGAAAGCAAAATCAAATAAATAGCAGCAGAAATTGTCGGCGTTTTAGCTTTTAATCATTTATGTAGCTCTGACCCCGCGCGCGCCCTGCTCAGTATACATATGTATATATGTATACATGTGTGTGTGTATATACACATAAATATATATATATATATATTATATATATATATATATATATATATATATATATATATATATATTTGTGTATATACACACACACATGCATAATATAATATATATATATATATATGTATGTAGAAATATATTGATCCGAGAGTAGTTCCGATTCGTATAGCTCTATTATACGTATATAGTAGAAAGGCACTAAAAAGTGATCGATCCGAGAGCTGCGATCTGCGATGCGATCGCTCGAACTTCCGTTGCACAATTGGCCAAACGCTTCTTTCTTGTTGGCTCGAAGCAAACTTGGCGAGGACGAGCGACACGTTAGCGACAATGACAACAACGACCGACAACGGCAACGAGAACGACAGCTACAACGACAACTCTTTAACGCCAATTGATGCACGATCTGCCGATCTGGCGATCTGCAATCCACAATCCACGATCCACAATCTAAGATCCCCAATCAACTGATTCACTTTGGCTTCGAAGCCGCTGGCCGCACGCACGCGACTGTGGCGCGTTTTAAAAAAAGACCGCGTTTTTGGCTCAGGCTCATGAAAATTTCATAATTATTTCTTTTTATTTTTCCTTCATTTATTTCTGTTGTTGCTGTTGTTTTTCGGCACTGCAAATTTAATTGCAGGAAAATTGCGAGCATAAAGATGCCAAAAGAACATGCGAAGACGATAAGACAGACAGTCAGACATTCAGAAAGACAGAGACAGAGAGAGCGAGAGAGAGAGAGTGAGAGAAAGAGAGGGAGAGAGAGATAAAGAGAGAGAAAGACAGACAGTTGGTGGGGTGGTAAATGGGCATCGCTGAGACTTGGACTTTTGATTCAGGCGCATCGTAGATGGACCATACCGAACCGATGGACAGACAACGATGAGCAGCAGCCAAGCGCAGTCGAGCATGCGACATATGTAACCCCCCACCCCCCTCCACGTCCGGCTACCGAACAACACGACCATCAAGCATACTAGTGCGCTATTCACTGACAGCTCAATGCAATGGAGGCAGAAAGATAGAAAGGGAGGGAGGGGGAAGGGAAAGAAAGAAAGCGCTGCAATCAAAGGATACGCGCAAAAAGAAGCCAAAAATGAAATGCAATTTATTTCATTATAATGAATCAATTAAAAAATAATATCAGCACCAACAAAGCCTAGCCAACAAATGTGCACAGCTAGAAGATACCCTGCTATCAGATCTTCTAGTCATTCCTACTTTATCCCACATAAATGTGGGCAACAGTTCAAAATTCGATTTAAGCCCGATTGTCGCATGGTATTCAAGAATTGACATGCCAAATATAAGATCTTTCGATATATTAACATTAATAGTTTTAATTTTATTCATATGCTCAGATGTTATGCTATACAAAAACATTTTTGATGGATCCTGATCCGTTCTATCACAGGAATCTGCTCGAAATACATAGGCTGAAAGTCATAAGAAAAATACAATTGTATTATATACAAGGACCTACATAGAACATATACGAATTCTCTAGCTTTAATTATCTCTGGCACAGGCCAGGTGGAGATACAGATATAGCTAGATTGGCTCAGCTCGTCGTGATCCGAAATACATATTCCATAAGGTAAGTCAAATTTACTTTCTTCTCCCGGTTACAACCATTTTACCGTGCTGCCGAAAAACTACAAGCATGCTAGACAATTAAATATTTAGATTACGCTACATATTTATGGAAAACTCCAAAAGGATTAGCTTAAACTACTGTCTCAGAGTTGCATTAGTTACATACTTTTGCATAATACCTTTATACCTCATCTGAACATTTTAATGGGTAAAACGATAAAAAGGAGGCCAAGAAAAATGTGGCATACATGGCATTGAAATTGTTTTCGGTACGGGGCGCCACCATACCACACCACAAATTGGCATACAAATAAAAAGAAAACAAAACATAATAGACGACATACAAAAGACAATATGTATATGCATATATGTATTTAAACATATAGACAATGGAAAGGGCGAAATGGTATTGGGTTGCTTCCATTTAGCAATTGGAAGACACTTAAATTCTTATACAGTGCCTAATAGAAGTTTGGAGTTCGAAAATTCTAAGCAGATCTTGAAAAATAGATTGAATTAATTATTATTATAGAATTAACCAATTCAGAATCGAAATCCCGAAAAATGCATTTTTATGCTCGTTCACAAAGTGTAAAGAGACCTAAAATGTTGAATATATACTCGGGTATACACCCGTCGAATAAATTACGAAGATTATATAAATATTATGATCAAATCAGGAAAATCATCAGACTACTCATGAGCTTCTCTAAACATCCATGCATCGCCCACTGGGGACGTGGCAAATCTGGAAAATCAGTACATATATAGATTTTACAAGATATATTAAAAAAATTCCGGTTTATATCTAAGCTAAATGGCGGGCGTGTTCTTATATTTTTCTATCCCATAATTAATTATATTGACGTTGTTGTTGTTAATGGGAAGATTTACCATACATCCTTACATCAAAAAATTTGTAAATGAATTGATGAGAAATTGAATTGCTTGTTTTCAGCCAGAGGCGTAGTGCACTAGTTTTGACTTATGTGGAAAATTAATCAAATTATAGTGCTAGTCCCCACCCCCACCCTTATCCACGCTCCCACCAAGCCACCCACCCAGCACCCAGAAAGCGTAAATGTGGAAATCTCAATTCTACCGCTTTTATCAGCTATAAACATTGTAAAATAACACGCAGTCTTGAGTGGGTGGCAACAGGGACAAAAGGGGTACGAGCGGGGACATGGTTTGGGTCGTTGTCAAAATAGAAAAGCAATTTTTTTTAAATCTTCCTTTTTTTTTACCGCGACGACGGGGGAAACATTTCGATACACAAACCCAATTGGCAACACGAACTGCACTCGCGAGAATCAATGCCCGACGCGGGGCGGGGACAGGGAAAGAAGGGGCAATGGAGGGTGTGTCAATTACCGGTGCCGGGGGTGTCGCATGTACAATGCAAAAACGATATGACGCAGCAGAAAGAGGAGAAACCACTTCAGAACATTGGGAACACACAGAAACACACACAAACACACACAAACACACACGCACACACCCA